TCCCTACTCAAAAACATAGCCGTATACATATATATATATATGTGATTGTTTGGTGTGCGGCGACGGAAAGGTTATTTCCCACAATCAAGGATTAGTTTCCCATAGTCATATTTGTGTTCGGGTGGCAGCCCGGCAGCCCAGATTGCAAAGCACAAGTGCTCCACATTTTTCCGTTTCCAGGAGTAGCACTGGGTCCGTCCGTTAAAGTGTGGCATGTTGAGAGGTCATAAGCAAATGAGTCGAAATCGAAGGTTTGATTCCCCATTCTCTTCACCCATCGTTTTCTTTGGAAACCACCAATTTTCCGGGGTGTTGGCCCATTCTTTGAAGAGAATGATGCCTGAAGAGAATGGGGAGGGTACAGCTAGATGAAAGGGTGCAGTGTCAAAGTTTGTTTGCCACCCATCGGACCCAGCAGTTTTCCAGGGCGAATTGGGATCACAGGTTCCCATCATGTTGCTTCAACTATTCGCGAATACAAGATACGCCTCGGAATCGGTGACATTTATATATATATATATATTTATATTGCTTCCAAGAGGCGTGTCGCTTTACTGATTCGTGAAAGTTGGCACAAGTGAAAAAGACCACATGTCTGTCCACTTCTTTGGGCGACATGTGTGTCATTGTTGTCTTCGAACAGCGAGCTCCGCGTGAGACATGTTGGTCGTCGGCTTCTTTTCCCGCCTTTTACTCGAGCCGAGCTCGGATCTTTGTCCAAAGCTTCCTTTCCGGAAGCTTTCAACGGCCGGACGCCTGAGGACCAAGCTGTTATATATTGCTTTTTCTTAGGGTGGGGCCCCTTCAAGCCAAAACAACTCACTCCCTGAGTTCATGGACTTTATACTTGTTGGGAATTGGCGGTAAACAAAACGTTTGGACTTTTATTGGCCAATCAACTCAGGAAGCGAGACAAGCTTACATTTGCGTTCCGGAATATGTTTGATGTGAGAGTCTATCACCGGAGATAGGTGGATTCATCCGAGACTTCGGCAAATGGAAGAAACGAGTTCTCTTTGTTGCCACGGCTTCTTCTGTAGAGGTACAGAAAACATGTGGTCTAACTCAAAAGGAGACTGGGGAAGAACTGGAACAGTGCGAAGGATTCGGCTCACTCGTGGCCATGGCCAGGAACTTTAGATTGATATACCCTCCCACCGTTTTTTTTTTTTTACATGGAGCCTGACGTGACAGGGACCCGGTTCCTTTAAGGGGCTAAGAAGTGCGGTTAGCCTCCAAAGAGGCACCCGTTTGGATGCGGTTTGACTGAACCAAAAAACGTTCACATGCAGTCTCTTAAACCCCCGGCACACAAGCCACAACAATTAGTCATGCGCCCCAAATTTGGCTGGGACCACAGGCCAAAACCTGAGCAAAAAGGACCACAAGCGGCGCCCCTTCTTTCAGCTATCGGCACATTTCGTGGGATCTTGGTGCAGGCAGCCTCGATGAGTCGAGTGGATGAAGGGAACCCGAACCAAACAGGGAATTGCGGTAACAGGTATTGGTTCGAGGTCCACTCTGCCTTGCTTTCACTTCCAATTGCTTAAGAGTATATTTTATTTTCCCTTGGTGATTTTAAAAGGAATTTGTCACTACTGGATATATTTCATTTTTGCCAGGGGTCTGAGCCAAATGGAAGCCTTTAGAGCGCCTCTGCTGCAGCCTAAATTCCAAGCCACGAAGGCAGGGTTTTTCCTCATGTTTTCTTTCAGCCAGCAGTCCATGTTTGGGCCGGATCCGTTTGGCCCCGAATTGGGCATTGGCTCCTCAGGATTTTCCGTTTGAATGTCCGGCCTTTTGCTAGAAGCGTGAAGCACTCGTTTCTGAGAAGGTGGATTTTCGAAGTGATCCTGTGGATGGCGGGTAACAGTCCTTACCCGCCCCGTGACTGGGTACTTGGACGTTCGACCCAAGCCACACAGATTTACAAGGCAACTATACAACTCCCATCATTCCAGGGGTAGCTTCCATTTCCATTCTTTTCAACGATGCTTCTTTCTAGAAAGCTTCCGGAACCCAGAGAAAGCGGCGATCGGTTTTTCGAAAAGAAGGAATTTCTGGAACAGAATGGAAAAGGAAATCAACCCCTGGTCTCCCATGGTTTTACAACCTACCTCACTTGGCTCGAACGTGTGAAGATCTCTACATGGCTGCCATAGAATTCCTTCCGCTCTCCGATCTGTGAGCTTCGCAAGGTCGGAGATGCAAGGCTAGGTTTCGTCAGTAGTGCCCTTCTCTCCCCTTTTTTGGGGAGGGTTCCCCTACATAGACTATAGAAAAAAACATCGGGCGCCAACTTATTCTCTCTACTGGTGGAACTAGAAGGGGTGCGTCGAAACGGTGAACTCGAAGTCAGCCGCAAGAGGGTAAGTGAGTAACAAGAAGGTGTTCCACATGGGTCGAAATGCTTGTGGGTCAAATGACAACGTGCCTTTTTGGTGATGGTTACCACTCCACTGTTGTCTTTTCAGAAGGCTTTCTGGGTGTTCACCGGGGCACCGGGGTTTTGACCCATAGCCAAATCAAAGCCCGCGCGCTTTCCTTCTAAGCAAGGGGCGCCCTCTGACTATGACCCATCCACTGCATGCGTGAGTGAAGAACTGAGCTCTGGCGTTGCGCACAGTTCAGAATTCCTTCGAAAGGGAGTACCAAACGGGTCTGGGCCAAAATCATAAGACTTGGACCTTTTCATCCAGCACACCCCAACCACTTTTTGTTTGGATACTTTGGATTTTGTGCATGGGAGTTTTCGGGTTTCTATTTGAGCCAATTTGCAAAAGGTACAAACTCGGTGTTTGAAAAAACTCGTTGCCCCTGATGAGTCTTCTTGATACAGGAGGGCAAGAAGCCTTTTCAGGGCCAAGACTTCAACGAGCCTTCTGCGGAAGCCCGGATCCCATTTGCAAGTTGGGGGTTTTCCGATTTGGGCATGGGTCAAAACTAACCACCAGGAATTGGACCGCAGGTTTTGGTCCATGTTTCCACTTCCCTCCACTTATTCCATTTTGGGGTTACCATATTTTTGACAGCCACGGCCATTTGGCCCGTAGTCCAGATTCCAAGAGGTGAAGCTTTTACTTCTGCTCCTTCGGGCCCAGCTCTTGGATGGCACCCACCCAGACGAAGCACCTCCGCATTTTTTTGGGCGAGCGCCGACTTGGCGAGCCTGAGGGACCCCGCAAAAATGGGGAAGCTTGGCTTTTCGCATCCGGCGCAAAGTCGGATCGCGCAAATTCCGCGGCGCGGTTGGGTGTTGCGGAGTCACCCAAGTTCAAGGTTCCATTTTTGCGCGTCTCTTACTTTTTGCGAGTTATTGCAATATGCCCAGATGCGCGCTAGGTGTTTTAGCGTCTAATTTTCGGAAACATGAATGTGTTTTGCCTCTTGCCAGGATGGGCCTCACCCATGGGGTGCATGACGCAACGCTGCGAAACAATTATTTATTCTGTTGGCCGCCACGCACATCAATCGGACGGGCGTTCAGATTTCTGCTACACCCGCAAGTTCCAAATACCTGCCTTTCGGTCTGTCATGTCTAAAAAAGAGATCGGTGCGAATCCCTTTCTGTCTAAAGCAGGGATCATGTGTTTACCTTGATTCAACCGAGTCCTTAAGATGACCCAGGATTAATACACCCGTCCCATTATTAGCAGATTGTTCCCTCCAAACATGATGGATCCTCACCAAAGTCGGACACCCCCCTATTAATCAACCAGGGGTGTATTAATCCGGGGCTAATCAAAAAGGTACCGTTCAACACTTCAAGTATTTGGAGCTTTCGGGGGCCGATGCTGTGGCTGGCCGAGGGGTCTGTTTGAGGACTCGAGACTTGAAAGTGATCAATTCATGTCGCCAAAAAGGAGAGTGGACGCGTGTCATGTGGGACGGGTCAAAATTCAACCGGGGGACCGCAGGTTTTGGTCCATGTGTCCATTACCAGGGTTCCATGTTGGGTGCCTATTTTTGACCCGCAGCCATGTGCTGAAAGGGCTCTTTGAAGTGAAACCCCTGCCTGGGTTTTCACAGGGATTCAGAGCACTTCAGGCACTTGAGGATGAGCCCGGACCGATTTTTAGTGGGTTCAAATCCGTTCTTCAGCTGGTTTGTTGGAGGGGGTCCTTTGAACACAACATAGAACGGCACACACAAATGCCGATTGGTTTTTCCCCATGGAATTTGACTGGGACCTGGTCTGGGTGGGTGCTTGGTAGTTGTGTTGGAAGTGGTTGGCAAAAAAGTATTTCTTTGGGGAGGGCAAACGCTGAGGTAGGTGACACCCCTGTTGTAGAGGGTAAATGGGGTAGTCCCCCGGGAAAAAAAAAAAAAAAAAACGAGTTGGATGGAAGCTCACAGGTAGGCGTGTTCTTTGGGCTGTTTTGGAATCGGTGGGTTCTTTCCATTCTTACTGGAGTCACTTGCTAATTTTGTAGGTTCCAAAAAGGGACACGGGCTGGAGGGCTGAAACCTGAAGAATTGTCCGGGCAGTCCTCAACCAAAAATAATCTGAGTGGACGAATCCTTATAGGTGGGATAAACCTCCCACTGATGACAGTGGTTGTGGTATCACAGAAGTGTGTTGTGAGAGCTACTGTGGCTGCACGAGATCCATTTCGCACCACCTAAGACCTAAGCAACCCTGGAATTATGACTCCCCTGTGAATGCCAACAAACCTTCCGGTTTCAACCATGGTGCGAAGTGGATTTCGCAACCATCCACAGTAGGGCTACCAGGGGAAGCCAAAAGAAATTACAGCGTGGCCCTAGGAGTTCCACCCGATTTTGACACTATCCTACCGTCATGGGGGCTGGGGGGGAGGAAGGGGAGGGGGAGGGAGCCCAAATACGCCCTTATTAAGCCCCTAATATGGAGCCAATTTGGCCTTATTTGGGGCTTATTGGGGCTCCCTTCCCCCCCCCCTCCCCTCCCTCCCCCACGGCCCCCATGACACCGATCCGAGCGATCCGAGCCACTGGCCTTTCCAGCCTTGCCGTGCCAGGGCCAAAGAGCCTCCGCCTCAATGGAGCCGGAGGATCGGGGTGTCGGTTGATCACTTTCCAGTTGCTCAAATGTGTTTGTTTTTCACATATTATAAATAGAATAATGTAGATTATTCTGTTGTTTTTGAATATTTAATATTAAAACTAATATAGAATGACAATTTATATAAATATCGAACTATGGTATATATATATATATGTATTGTTTATTTCCCCCGTTGGTTTTAAAGGGAATCTATCACTACTGGAAGTATATATGTTTAAAACATGTCCAGGAGGCTAAAGCAAGTAGCAGTCAGGGGGGTCGTTTTTTTTTGCCACCCAAAGGTGGAAACATGATCGACCCCCTTGATTCCTTTTTGCGGGGGTCGCCATTTTTTCCCCACAAAAGGTCGCCAAAAGACCCCCCTGTTCGGGTTGACGTGGGGTTGCTTCAGGAGTTTCGGGGCTGATTGTTTCAGACCAGTTTTGATTTGGGCGTGTAAAACAGGAAAGACCCGACATGAACCCAATCAATAGGTCCCCGGTTTTAGACACGCCCAACTTGTGGGGCGTCCCAGGTTGTTTCAGATAATATGTTTAGGTTTGAGGGAAACTAAAGGCAAACCCCCCACTTGCATGGTTTGTTGGTTGGCATAGATCGCGCAATCGGAATAGAGCAGCGGTTTGCTGCTTGTAGTCGCACGTGTCTAGCAACATGACAAGAGAGCAATCCTTCTCAGACTCGCTATGCTTCAGAGGTTTTGCCATGGCACTTGCGAATAATCATGGCAGATCAACGCCTGTTTGACACCACAAGCCGCATGTTTTGTCGACACGGCGTCTTGTCTCGAACCTGCCTAATCCCTGCAGGAAGCGAGTCCGGACGACAACTGGGATCCGTTTGAGGCGCGCGTGCATGTGTGGCTTCGGGCACTTCATTATGGCTGTCCAACATGGATGGCAATAACAGTTTTTTTTGCGTAATGCAAGTGAATCCAATGCAAACACCCCATCATCCAGCATGAACTTGCAGCCGCGAAAGGCAATTGGTGCTTCATCAAGACCAGTGTGGGGCTCTGCTAATATTTGTCAGCCACGAGCAGAATGTATCGAAAGGAGCCCGGACGCCTTTCAAGGGACCCTTACCCCCATACACCTTCCTTTGTGCGGCTACGGAAAACATCACAAAACCCTGCCCCCAGTGTGAAGACCATGGGGAAATCGTCAGGGGAAAAATACAACAAGGAAAACACAAAAACAAAACGCCGGCAGGCCCAACGGTGCCCTGCCACTTACAACCACCCCTGAGCTGTCTATGAGCCTTCCTTGTCGGCACAAGGACATCCTCGTGGATCACTCCCAAGAGTGAAGCCACATGCCTGGGTGACCAGGGCATCCCAGAAGGCCACATCCAGATTTCAGATGCCCATGGCACCCTTTTGTTGGCTGGGATCACTGGGCATTTGAATCCGGTTCCTTCCTCTCGATCCTTGTCTCTTTTTTTTTTTGGGGGGGGGGGGTTAAAGGGGAAAACCCCCAAACTTGCAAACCCCCCCAAACCTCCCAAGCACCAGCCACCAGCCAACAGCCACGATACTGTGGATGGTTGCGAAATCCATTTCGCACCACCTCAGAGACCCTGGTTTCTGATGATTCCCCTGTCAAGACCTTAACAAACCTTATGGTTTCCCATGGTCTTCAAGCGGTGCGAAGGGATTTCGCGTCCATACCCCCCCCCCCCAGACCTCCAAACCTCCAAACCACCACCCACCAGCCCCCTAAGCCCCAAGCTCCAAAAAACCCCCCAACCTCCCAAGCTCGAAACCACCAGCCACCTCGACTCAAGCTGAGACCAACCGATCTTCAGGACCCGGAGATCTTTGCTCTGGCCGCCGAGCTGGCGCTCCAGTTGCAGGACATGGCGGCCTTGGAGGCGCGCCTTCTGCGCCGCACGCCCGCTCGCCGCGGCGTGGCGCAGCGTGGCGCGACCTGGGCTGCGAAGAAAGTTGGAAGGTCCCTTTGGGGGGGGTAGGGGAGAAGACCTTTTGGGGTGGGTGGCCTTGGGGTGGGGGGAGGGGTGGTGGTGAAACTTCCCAGCCCAGGTCAGGGGGATTGAGAAAAGTATGAGTCCATGAATTAGAACAAAAATCCGAGCTGAGAGGTGGTGGGTGGACAGACATGTCCAACTATTTTTTTGTGCCCAGCACAGGGTCCCTTGTGAAATGTCACACCCATACAAGTGCGCATCTAAAACTTGCCAAGCTTGGACTAGTCCGGACTTTCGGTGGAGGTCAACACAGCTGCAGCTTGAGCCAAATCTGCGAACTTGGGAGGCCTGGGTCGAGCAGGCCAAGGCAGGCGCGTTGCATTTTTTGGAGAAGTCAACAAGAGTTGGGGTTTTCGCCAAAACAGGTACTTGCACACAAATGTTCGCAGATTCTGCTTCATAAGTCTACCCTAAAGTATAGCATCAGTTTGCCTCCAAGTGCATGACATATTTTCAGGCACAACATATGAAGCCAAATCTGAGAACATGTGCATGTGTGATTACCTCGGAGGCCAAGAAAATTTTCGTTACGCCCAAAGAGACATGCACATGTTCAACGTCTTGTCTGTTCTCTCGAAGGTTCTGACAATTTCCGACCCGAACGACTGACCATTTGTCTTGCAAGTTGCCCAGCCGCGGCTGTCAGGTAGTTCTGCCTGGATGGTGAGCTCTGATAAAAAACGGATGCAGGTCCGTTGCTTGCGCTCCCTTGTCTGGCTAGTGCTCAGCAGGGAATGAGGGAATGACCCTTATTTAACCCATCTCTTGTGGTTTCCTTTAAGGACCCCTGGGTTCATTCCCTCATTCGCACCAGCAAGTTGTTTTAGGTGCTGAAATGATTGGAGAATTTGAAGATTATTGCACAACTGGTTGTTTGATCTTTGGTCTTGTCCCAAAGGCGGTGGTTGTGGGACTCTGCTCCGCCGAAAAGAAAGCAGGACCCCACGTGCGTGGGGTGAAGGAAGATGCGGATCCACGTGTTGATCTTGAGTAGACAATTGCTTTGGGTGTCCTTTGGCCCAGCTTCCCACCCTTGCGACAGGGATTTGGGGGGGGGGGGCGGGGAGGCGGGGCATGTTTGTTTTGAGGGCGCTGCTTTTAGTCCACTTGGGACACCAAAATCGGGAACGCCTGGAGAGCTCCGGCGTTTTGTTTGGGGGGCACCCTGACAACTCTCCGCGCTTGTCTCGCAAGCGCAGGCGGCCAGACTTCCGCGGGACAAAGTTCAGCCCAAGGAGGCCCGGTCCTCAACCCAAAGGCAGCCACCTGCTTTTTCCCATCGGCGGTTGATCAGGTCCGATGAACCTGGGAACCTGGGGTGACCAGTAAGAAAGCCAGCCGAAAAAGATGCAATGACTCTCGCACCACTCGATGGGAAAAGCTATCCCATGGTCATTTGGCCGCCAGGAATATTGATCAACCTCCCATGTGCACAAGCCCAAGTACGGTAACCAAAAAGCACCCGGGTGGTGCTGGCAAGGGTTGCTTTTGTGTTGGGGCTCTCCATTGGACAGTGCAGGGGTTCGCATTGGAGGTGTCATGACCCTTCGGGCAACCAAAAACAGGGGTTCCTTTCTTCCAATGGGCAGGTATGCATGGGAGTCCACTCATTCTGCCTTTGGATATGGAAACTCTCCAGAAAGCAGATGCTGTTGGACCTGTATACACGTCTCGCACATCCCACCCTAGTGGCTTGTGGGGAGCCACGAAGTCAAGGGATGGGGTCAAAGCAGGCACAGCAGCTTGTTTTGTTTTATGCGAGTTCTTGCCTACTGTCTGGTAAATAGCCCAGTTAAGTGTACCATGGTTTACCCAGCTGGGTAATTGGCTGTCGGTCAAAAATAGGGCCCAAAATGGGTTGCCCCAGTAAATGGACAAGTAGACTAAAACCTGCGGTAACCCTAGGTCTTTCATTTGAGCCACACCCAGTTGGAAGCAGCAAGCACAGACCGGACCTGGTCTTCACCCGCATAGCGCTTCTGCCTTCGAGGACCGGCTTCGGCTTGGCAAGGCGCGCGGAGCTGCGGGGATTCCGAGGTATCTGCGCCGGAGAACACTTGCCCGCTGCAAGCGGCTGAACTTTGAGGTGTGCCCAAAATTACGCTGGGGGTTTGTTTTCCTTTTCATCTGCGGGGGTCGATAGAGAACTGAACGTTTGTTGGTCTTTATGATTTTGCATGGGTGAATTGTAATAGCTCGCCTTGGCCGCGGTCAGTATTGAGGGTGGGTTTATCAGCCCCAATGCCTGGCGGTGGGTGGGGAGTAGAGAACCCTATCAAAGACATGCACCAGACCTGCAGTGGTGCCCGTTTCTATTTGTTTTGAGGGAGGTTTCCGTTTAAAATCAACCGGCTGTAGGTCCAAACCCTGGTAGCCCCCTACCCCAGATTCCCTTTCGAAACCAAAGGGGGCGCTACCCAAAAACGGGAATCTGGGTTTTGACCCACGCCCAACTGTGAAACAAACCAGTGCCCACATTTTCTTCCATGGCCACTAGGGGTTTGGGTGACTAGGCGCGTGCTCCGGACATTCCTTTCGCGGACCTGGGCGAGACCCAGGCCCGCGATTCCACGGAGATAGAGATGGTTGAGACTGGTGCGATGTGTGATGGCTGTTAATTCATGCGTTTCCGGGGAGTTTCCGGATTCGTAGAACTGGACCGTTGGCTCATCATCTCTGGATTAGTTCAACTTGACCTCGTTCGAGGTACCCTCTGACGGAGCACCATTTTCGTTTTAACGGGACCCCCTGTCATTCCATATTAATGGGTGGGAGGGTGTGTGTCATATAGGGGGACCTCTTTCTTGTGGTTTCCCTTTTGTTGCCAATCGCAATAGGGGCACCCCTCAGAAACCCACATTCCCAAATGCGAACAGTCATTTGGGCTTCTTGGGCTGGTCATCGACGTCTTTGTTGCAAACGCATCACACAACTGTTTAGATGCCATTAAACGACACAGGACTATCGCCTACACAAGGAGATGAATGACTCTGAAAAATAGATACACAATTTGAGTCTTCCAGGGTTGCTTGGCCGGGGGAATCCATCGAATGGCCACAACGAATGAGGAAATCAGCATACTTCAACATCAACGCGGACCAAGTGGGCTCTTGCTAGGGTTGGGCAAACTCTGTTTGAAACCAAAAGGATGTTGCACGAGCAATGGTTGTTTAGACAAATACAAACAAGGCATTGAATCGCATGACACTTTGGCTGCCGTAGCAGTCAGTCGTTTTCGTCGCTCATAGCAGGCTGCGGCAGAAGAACCTGCTCGCGCTGAGGCGGGTACGATCTAAAGGGCCGCGCTTGCTCGTTTGCTCTGTACCAGAGCAATTTCCTCGAAAAGGCGACGGTTGTCATAGGAATGGCCAACTTTGGTATCCTAGATTTCGGGTAATTCCCCAGAACCACGTTCTGAACCGCCCAAGATCGGAGTTCACAACGTGAATCAGAAGGTTGTGAGGAATTGCAGGAGGCTCAATTCAGGCACTAAGGTCTGTCTGTCGGAGGAAAGTCCCTTTTTTGTTTTGTTTTTTGAGCTCTCGACTGGCTTGCAAGCTAAGTAAGCCTCAGGTTATGCGAACCGCCGCGCACGCAAAAAAAGTCACCCGTCCGAAAGAAACTCAATTCCCCCAAATCAAAGGCTGATTCGTATAGAATATGAAGAAATGGCCCCGGGGGTTTTGCCACTAGTGGTTTATCCAGGGGTTCAGCCTTTGACTAATTAATCTAATCGACGGTTTCCACTCCTCTCAAACCCCATTAAAAACGATACAAATGGGCTTCTGCACATTATGGCGGGTGAATTCCCACTTTCAAGCGTAGTTTGACTTGGTGCTCAGGGAATGTGGGGATGAACCCAGGCTTTGAACTTTGGTCCCCTGAAAGGAAACCACCGGTTGGATGGTTGAGAAGGGTCATTCCATGTCTCATTCCCTACCCATCGCACCAGCAAGAAAAGCCGATTTATCACATCTCCAGCAAGAAAAAAACCGATGTACACCAAGAATCTAAGGCCCCAATTCCATTTTCTCATTCCATTTCTCATTCCATTTCTCATTCCCATCTCTCGCAGCGTTGAGTACATCCCATGTTTCGCTCGCGCTGGTCTCGCGCCCAGGCGGCATCCCGGCTGCAAGGCCTTCTGGCGCGCCGTCCGCAGCTTGAAGAGGCTTCCGGAAGAGAGAGGGCCCCCCCGGAAAACAAAAAGCACAAAAAACATCGGTGTCGGTTGACTTGGTGGCAAGCCCAGCCATCCGGCTCCTTAGCCTGTTGGCTTTTAGCTTCCATTTAACCCACTAAAAGTTTTTGACTTTTCGCGGGGGATTAGAAAACGGGCAGCCCAGTTGAGTCACAATGAAAACCCGGAAAAATGGAGAGACGGTGCCTTCGCCGCCTTGTCAAGTCTTTAGTTCTGGGTAGACCATTTAAATACCGGGCTTTAACTATGACTCAGTTGGGATTGGTGGTTTCGTCCCAGTATTCATAGGGTTTTGGTCATGCCAACTGGTGTGTTTTTGTCCATCAGTATGGGTGTTCACGAATGGGTGATAGATTCGCTGATAAAACATCATCCGTCCCCCTGTCAAAAAAGGTCTCCCTAATAAGAAAGTCTCGGAAGTCCCAAAATCCAGGAATACTACTTTTAGAATAGCCAAGACTAAACCAGTTTTAAAGTAGGCATTTTCCTGCCCGTACTCAAATTCAGGGGGACCCAGGAGTACGTTTCCTTTACCGCGCTCGTACTAGCTTTCGAGCCGGAGCTCCGGGAGTACGTTTCCTTCGCTACTCTGGTGCTACAAAGTTGCGACTTTCGAGCCGGAGCTTCGGAGCATGTTTCCTTTACTACCGCTGGCTGCACTAAGTACAGGAGACCCCTAATAATAATAATTGTTTTGCTGGGAGGGAGTTTTTTTTGAGGGTGGGGGGGTACTTTTCCGGGGAAGGGATTCTTTTTGGAGCTTCATTCGTTACATAAATTTGCGTCGCTTGGGTGTTTTGTAGCAGAAATTTGCTAGTCGGGCGTTTTTCCGGGGGAACGGGCACAAGTCTGGATTCGAGCATTTTTGGCTACGCGGCGGCTTCTCTCTTATCATATAGTGTGTTGCGTGGAGACATGTGGAAACATACCCGCAAAACGAGCGCACATCCAAATCATGCAACAATTTGTATTTTGCAAGAGCCGTGTTCATGAAACGAGCGTGTTTTGGGAACGAGCATTTTTGGATCATTGGGCGAAAATAGTTGCCCCGAGCATTTTCCTTTGTGTTACACAAGTTTATGTAACACTGGAAGGCCCAGGTCTTAAGCACATGGAGTACATATTCTGCAAATCACTAGCAACCTTCCTTCTGCGAGCTGTTCGGCCAGGTGGCCTTGTCATGAAAGGGGTTGTGCAAAAAGCAACAAGACATGGTTGTTGTTGAGAAGCATGTTACATTTTTGCTTATTGTGGTTTAGTGGGAAATCCCCACGTAACTGCTAAAATATATTTGTTTGCTCCCCTTCCAACATCAACCAAAAAAGGCGAAGTGGCAAAGTGGGTCAACCGTCGCGGTCGATGGGCGTGCTGAGGTTGAGGCTCAGTGCCCAGTTCAGGTTGGTTTAAATACAAGAAGCCAAAAGGAAAAACACCATCTCTTGGGGGGCCAAACTGGGTGGAGAATTGGTGAGAATTGGTGATTTTTCAGGGGACTGAAGCAAATGTTACCCAGTTCTTAGGAGCGGCCAGTGCTTTTGTCGCCGGGCGCAGGCTGTGGCAGAAGAACCTGGCGAGGCAGTGGGCGGTGGATCGGACCGGGTGAGCATTTGGAATGGGAGTGTTGGTGCCGGTGCCCTCCATATTTTGCACGGCTGAGTTTCATCAGCCAACGCCATTTTTGGGCGGCAGCCAAACTTGGGTGACCCTGGGTTCTAAGAAGAGGGATGCTACACATGCCCGCAAAACCCCTCTTTCACGGCACCAGACCCCATCTCTTGACAGCTGCGCGAGGCAGCAACCCGGCTGCAAGGCCTTTTGGCGCGGTCGGAACCAGAAGCCGCGGCCCAAGGGAGGTCCTTATTGGCAAGGAACAAGCTGACTGACGGCAATAAATTCAAGAAGTCCTTTCTGCATGGGGCGAGACAACCTTTTTGTGCAGTCATGCCATGCAGAGTTGCGCTTCACGCAGATCTCCCTGCAGCTTCGACCCGCGTTGTCTCTGAGCATGCCAACATGTGACTCTGCTTGAAGGGCTTCTCATAGCGCGACATCAAGTCCAGGACCTACGGAAACAGTTTGCGACCAGTCCACATGGGCGTGAGTCAGGTGGACTCTGGAAGGGGGTTTGGTGCTCCAAGTTTAAGTGCCTTGCTTTGGTTGATCTCTGTTTGAATGGCTGGCCCCCAGCAGCGGTCCAAGCATGGCACTTGACCTTCGACTCCCATCCGAGGCGACCGAGAGGCCGGCGAGATGTCAGACCTTGCTTGGTCACACCATCTGCGACTGGATGTTTTGGCGGGGTGCGCCCCTTAAGAAAATCCAAGACAGTTGCTTGTTTTGCAGGAAAACCAAAAGAGAACCAGCACCCCCCGCTCGATTTTCCAAGGGCTCCTGTAGCGGGAGGATACTGAAGCACTTGCAGCTGTAAGACATAGGGCCCGTTTGGGAATGCAAGTTTCCACGAAGGAACCTGCACAGATGCTTGAGTGTGAATTCAGGTGCGATAGCTGCAAAAGGCCACAATTTTGGTCGCGCCCAACCGCCGCTTGGGCTCGAGTTGTTTTGTTCTTTGGTCCTTTTTTGTTTTGTGCCTTGGATGCATGAGATGCGGGCACCAGCATACTTCGCGGCGCGCGATTGCAGTTGTGAAGCGTTATCGTCCACTCAGGTCTGTGTTGAAAAAGGGCGGCACTGGTTTCGGTTTGGTTCTAAACAAATACCAGGGCAATGTGTTGTTCCTAAACGACACCTTATATTATATAGGCACATGGGGAGCCCTCGTTCGTGGCATTGCAGCAAACCGCTTTTGCACCGCCACGAGGTTTGAATTCACATCTCTGTACCTCGGCGGCAAGGCTCTTGACCATCTTCAAGAGCCGCGTTGGAAAAACCTCAACGAGCAGCACCCAAAGCCACTTTTGGCTTAGAGTAAGGCCTGCACAAACCTTTGTGACCATAGACTTAAAAGGTCAGTGTGAAAGTTGTACAAAATTGCAACATGGCCTGTCTTGGTTTCTGTGAAGTGTGTGCGAGACATTCGATATGGAAGCTAACCACAATATTTGATAACCTTCGGCACCCGGGTCCCAACCACGGCTTGTTGGGCAGTACTGCGATTTTGGACATGGGACAAAACAGGTGCTGGGGGGGAGGGCGTGCTGGATGGAATATGTATTGTTGGTTGGTTCTGGTTTGCATGAAGGGTCCCAACATGAGGTTCAATCTACTTTTTCTATGGTTCTCTGTCTCTCATTTGGCGTTCTGGACATGGGACATGCTTGAGATTATCCGCAAAAGCGAAGGGGACGAGCCTCGAATCTTCCCATGTCCTCTTTGGGAAGCAACAGCAAATGTCCGTGGCTGATATGATTTCGATCTTGTTTTGTTTCGCGGTCACCAAAAAGAGCGATCCGGCTCGGTGTCACACTTTGCTCCATTGGAAGTTGGAAGATTGGGAGGTCGAGAGGCTGAGAGGGTGCAACACATGGTATGTGTTTTTTTAGGGGACCCCCCAAAATGGTGGCTTTCCTTTTGGTTTCCCTTTAAAACCAGCCAAAAAGGGTACCTTGAAAAATGACACCTCCACATGGCTGGTTGCGCGAGAATCGAACCGTCAGCCGAGGTTTCGGTTGACTGTGCCTTGGCAAAAGCTGGAGCAACTCAAGGGCCAAACTGCCGGCGGGCATTGGACGTTTGGATGGCCGCTCCAACAACATGTTTGAGGAACGGCTTCGGTCCAACACAGCATGATGCGCATTTTTGTTCTAAGGCCCAAATTTAGGAAGAGGGTCGAGTGTCAGGCTGCTGCGAGATGCCATCATTCTCTGTTGTTCTTGATACGAAACTAACTGGCCGATACCAAGTTTGGACCCAAGCCACATGCTTGCAGGCCGAGAGACGCCAAGGTGCCTTTTTGGCCACAAAATGGCAGGCTTATTGGCGCCCGTGTTCCTTTTGTGGAGGGGCTGCTAAAACTCAAGTACCTCAAGTAAGTACCAACCTCAAAACCAAAAAAAAGCAAAGCAAAACAAAAAAACACAGAAAACAAGTGCCAACAACCGGGTGCCCCTTTTAAGGCCCGTGACCAATCACTAGTCTGGGTACGCCAACAAGGCCCGGGGGAAAAATGTTTGACATGGAGCTCAGCCTCCGGTGCCGAAAGTGGAGCTTCCCGGGACTTGGGTTTCATGGGCATAGGTACCCTATGGAACCACCTGAAACAGGGGAGCCACTTGCTCAAAACCCGGGTAGATGGTTAGTACGGGGCAGTCCCAGCCGGAAATAGTTGCGGGAGCCTTTCTAATCCTTTACATAGTTCTGGGTCCATTCTTGTACCGATCGGAGCAAGTGACTCAGGGGTCTTTTTTCTTGACGCTTTCTGGGGGTTTGATCAAAGTCAAACTTGGGGTTTGTTTCCCCTACTGAACGGGAGGCCAGGGAAAGAGGATCGGTGCTGAGCTCGCTCCCTGAGTTCGGTGTCTCACTTGGGTTGGGGCCCATTTTAGAAGCAAACATCAACAGCTTGGACTTGTTTCAATCCACTCAGGAAGTAAGAGGGCGTTCGAGCCATTTTCCTTCTTGGAAAAGAAATGCAAGCTTTAAAGCAGGGAACCTGTTTGAAATGGATCAACTGTGAAGGGGGAGGTCCACCCGGCCTCTGGCGACTTCATTCTAGCTCATGGTCTGCCAGGGTTCCAGAGGCTCCTTTCAGGTTCCACCGTTTTGTTTTTGGGAGGCCAACACGTCGCGCGTTGCACCCAGGTGTCTGCGTTTCACCATGCCCTTTCCGTATGCATGGGCCGGAAGCTCAGACGTGTTTTGGGCGATGCTCAGCGAGACTCCGAGAGGTGCCATGCTTTAAATGGCTGTAGGTCAAACCAATGGTACCATTTTGGGGTAGGTGAATTCACCCCCCACTTTAGTCTATTTTAGTGGGGGCTGGTTGATGTTCACCGGGCTTTGACCCACGGCCAACCGTTTTTTCATGTGTCAGAAGCAAAACGGCGCTCAAGAACCTGGATCTTCCGCGCTAAACAAAAAAATCTTCAGGCCTTTCGCTGATCCTGCATGAGTCAACATGGGTTTGTCAAGAACGCGCCTGTCTCTGAGGTCCTTGGAAGCGGAAGGTGGATGCGTTTGGTTTGCGACCTTTAGATGTGTCTAGGCCCCCCAGTAGTGCCCTTTTACCCTTTTTGGGGGGAGGGTTCCCCTACTAAAATACACTACAGAAAAAAGGGCCCCCGTATTCTAACCTCTCTACTGGAGGACCTAGGTGTGCATGATGATTGTATTGATATGTGTAGCGCATAGTCAGAACCCGGTATGACTATGGGGCTTAGTGGCTTGATGAAGCGTATATTCGTGCGTCAAGTGCCGGAACGAGGTCAAGTTGAACCAATCCGGAGATGCCGAGCGAACGGTCACTCCCCGTGCCGGCCACACGCTGACGCCCATCCGCAATGCTGAGGGCTTCTTCCTGTGCCTCGGATGCTTCGGGTGTCCAATCAGCCCAAATGGGTGGCTCGCTTTTTTTTAGGGAACTTTTTTGTTTTGGTATGGGGAAACTACAAGGAAACCAGCATTTTCGGGGGTCGCCTAAAAACAAATAATGGTTGACTGAAGAGACGGCAAAAGGAGATTCAGCTTGTTTGGCCGTACGCAGACCAGACTTGTTCAATGAAACCTATGAATCCTCATGGCCATTTGTGACTCAAAGGACGGTTGGACAAGAACCAGGTCCTTTTCGGAACACGGAGGGGGTCTTACGTCCCAACCTGCGGGTGAAACTTTTGTTCCTGGATGACTGAAGCGGATCCGTGGTTTGCCGAGAGAGACGCCGATGTCCAGCTGTCAAGAGCGCGAAGACCAGAGGTTTGACCGCCCTACTTTTGCATGTCTACCACGAGGCGACAAGGGGTGAACATAGATGATTGATGAGCATGGGAAGTGTGCCATTTACTTCCACTTCGCTGTCTGAGTCAGACAGTGCCCCCTGCCCAGGTTTGGTGGTATGGATGGAAGGAGGACATTGCCTCGCAGCTGCCACATTCGGCTCAAATCCTCTACCGGGCCCAACTCTGGCCTACACAAGAAAAAAGGTTTGTTTCCGTGCACGGCCTATCAACTAAACCAAGCAGATGAACCCCTGAGCCCTAAATCCCCCACGCCACCGTGGCAACCCCAGTCTGTTTCATGTTAAGTCAAACCCAAAGCTATAACATATTTTCGGGAGGGCCCCAGTTTCGGTGATCTTTTTTGGGGTTCACTTGTACCTGGGATTTGATGATGTGATCTAATTATGTGTTCCCCTTGGTTTTGAAGGAACATGGTCCTGGCAATGGCATGACCGGTAAACTCGCTCTGAGTTTTTAGGCTTGAGTCACTTGTTGGACCAGAGGCTCCGATCGGCTTCAGCTTTCAATGGAAGACCTGAGCCCTCCATTAGACACCCCGGGAATTGGTGGTTGGGGGTCTGAAAACCAGGTTGTTTGATGGCCCTACATCCATCGAATTGGAGCCTCTGGGTAGTTGCAAAGGCCACTCGATCGGAAGTGAGTAAAAAACAAGGCACACTTGCCGAGTGGTCACCTGACCCGGCGGTTCCAGAGTTGGACTTGGAAGGTGGACTTTGGCCAGATGTGACTCTTTCTGGGCACAATTATCAAAGTCTCCCCCCCTGCCCCAAATGGTAGGGTAAAAGGGAAACCACCAACCAGTTTCTGACTTACCTCTGATTAAATGGTCAAAATCGTGATCCCAGGTTTGGGATCACTCTATTTGCCAGGCATGTCGCTCTGAAAGCCTAGCTCCAAGTACCTCTCATTTCCGGAGCTGGATGCGACGTGACTAGGGGCACCGCGTGCGGGCGATCCTTGAAAGAAGATACCTCAAGTCTCCTCAAGGGTCATAACCCAATAAATCTTTGACCCCATTGCTGCTCACTTCCTGAATTCCTGGACTTTGGTCACTTTTTGGGCTTGGATCATTTTAGTGGCAAACGAACAGTTTGGACTTTTTTGGGCCAATCCACTCAACCGGAAGTGAGTCACAGACTCCATCGCCCATCACCTTGGCACCCGGTCCGGTCGATTCCGCGTCGCAGGAACGACCAGGGCAACCCGGCGCCCAACAGCGACCTTTTCGTGCTCCGGCTCGGAGCCGCGGCGCCAGACAGGCAACATCCATACAAAAAAACGCGGCCACAAAGCACCCCCCCTTGCTTTTGATGCCATTTGGGAAGGTTACCTACAAAACCGGAGACCTGGAGTGACTGGACTTAGCTTTGTTGCATGGGGACGTTGGGGATATACACAATTCGGGGGGAAAAACAACTGTTTGGTTGGCAGCTGCTCAATGGGTGCCTTGCAGGAGGTTCGGTCAAACTGTGCTGATATTGTTGATGTGGGGTTCTGGACGTGACGGGGGAAGCTCCAAATGTCCCGGCAAAAACAAGCAGGCACCTCACTCAAACCCATGCCCTCATGAACAAAACAAAGTGATGGTTAACATTTGCTCATATATGGATGTGTGTTTTCTTGTGAGGGTACCCGTTATTGAGGTTGTGTTGACAGGGAAACCTCATGCAGACTCATCCCCTTTCGGGTGATTCAACGATCACCTGGGCCTCTCCAAAACTTGCAGCACGACCCTGGCTGAGCCTTCCCCTTGGACTGTTTTCCTTTGGAACTGCTGTAAGTCAGCCCAACAGGGGAACGTTTTTTTCCATCCCCGCGGGTTTGGGATGGGCCAAAATGAAAAGACTCGGGGCGCATGGGTTAGTTGCATCCATCAGGCGACCGGTTACACGCCTTCGAAATGGGTATGTGACAAAATTATTTTGGAACCCTTTGAATGCTTGGCGTTGGTTCCCTTTGACACAAGGCTCGCGTTGCCTTTGACGCAGCCAAATTGCGCATGCAGTTGAGCCCTGTGTGAACGCCACAGTCCGTGTGGCAAGAGGGAACACATAGTTGAATGAATTGTCAGTGGGGGTTCATGAAATCTGTTGGACCCTCTATCGTTGACAGTTCCAGCGGGAAATTACATTTGAATTACTCGACTGGCCAGGGCAAAAGCACAGCTGGCGTCAAAGGGGAGGATTACTTTCTCCTCGCACCATCCAGCCATATGTCGCTTCACTGTGCTATGACGTGAACTTATTCAGACGGGATTTTATTTAGAGTAATTTGAAACCAACAAACATACATTCTTTGAGACATCTCCTTTGCTCCGTGCTAGCTTGCTTCGCGGCCACATGTTTGGTGGTTTTGAGGGAAAACCCAAAGGACCCATTTGGGGGGTCCAACCTCAAACAAGACGCGCCCATGGCAACAACCACTACCATTTTCCTGTTCGGGTGCTGAGGGAAGGAGACAACTGAACTTGGTTACTGGCTGAAACCATCTAAGGCCGCCCCATTTTGAGAAGCATATAGGTATTTCTTAGAATAGACATACGCCCCCTTCCAAATGACCTGTTTTCCGCTTGGTTTCCCTGAAAGCCAGCCAGAAGCGGGTATCTTGAAGAAAGCAAGCACCTATGAAGGCTTCCATTTGGTTTCCCTTAAAGTTACCAATCATAGGCGTCCTTTTTAAGTTGATTAGTTTGGTTAAAAATAGATGGCACTGGTTTAGATGGGTTTTGTTCCATTTACCAGGGCCATCTATTTTTCCAAAAGGCCACCTATGTTACCAATGGGTACCCTGAAGGAACACAGAAGCCACCAAAGGCGGGGAGCTGCTCGCTCGCTTCGCCTCGCTCAGGAGCGAGGGGCGAGTGCAAGTGGTCGCCCATCGAGCTGGACGCAGCCTCGCAGGTACCGCCTGCCAGCGCCTGGGCCAAAAATGAGTCCGCCCTTTTTTTGGGGGTATCTGCCCTCTTTTCCAGGAAAACCACTTTTGTAGGGGGGGGGCTTTTTTTTCTGGGGGCATCTACCCTTTTTGCTGGGAACCAAAAGGAAAAACTGTTTTGTTGTTGGGGGTATCTACCTTTTTTCTTGGAATTAAAAAGAACACCATTCTTTTTTTTGTGCCGGCATCTACCCTTTTTTGGGGGGTACCCGAACCCTCCCATCGACTAACATGGAAGTGCTCAGAATAGTGGAGAAAGACGACTTTCCTCTTGGAAAGGGGTTTGTTCCTTCCATGTTAGTTGGTGGGAGGGGGTTGATCACAAGGTCCAATGAACATGGGGTGACCAGTAGGGAACCACAAAACGTGATTTCACTTTCACCAAATGGGAAAAGTTACCATGGTCATGTTGGGGCCGAACGGGGTATTGATCAACCCCCATGTCTGTCTTTTTCTGGGGTATCCCTTTGGGTGGTTTAAACGGTTTAAAGGGGAACCAAAAGGCAAGCCAAAATCCTTTTGGGGGTTTGCGAAAAACAGACACACCCAAATATGTTTAACAGGAACAATAGGTGTCCGTTTGATCGGTTAGTTTGGTTCGAATTAGATGGGTTAACCTGAGGGTTTCATGCCATCCATTTACCAGGAAATCCAACTATTTTCCAAAAGGTCACCTGTCGGAACCACCCCAGCAGTTGGTGGAGAGAAAAACCCCTAATGTCCGCCTGTTCAAGTCCCCTATTAAAATTCAGTGTGTGTTTGCGTGTGTGTTTGTCTTTGATTGTGTGTTTGCGTGTTTGGGTGTTTGTGTCACGTGTTTGTGATGATTGAAGTTCCTTGGCCTTTCTGACTCAATCTTGGGGTGCTGACAAGGAACGCTCCATTCCGCCATCGCGATCAGCGCCGATGAGATCTTCATTTGGGGCGGAATCCACTCTGCCATGCCCTTTCAGACTCTGCAGGCGCTTGCGGTTGCAATATCGATGGTTTCCCGTACCCAGCCAGCCCTAGATGGTAAATTGGGTTGTAGATCATGTAAGATGGCTTCCAGTACCACAACTATGGTTTCTACCCAAGCCGAAGCTACCCCCAGATGGTAAAATTGGGGGCTTTTTGAGAGGCTGTTCCCAGACAAAGTTTCTGGGGGAGGTTTGGAGGTACTGGAAACCATCTTGTGAGGTTTGCTCCAGGCTATGGAGCAGCACATGGCCCTTTCGGGCGCGACATGGGCATGACGGTGTGACAAGGGGGTGTAGGGTAACATTGGAGCTGGGCAGACCCGTTGACCGGGGTAGCTGAATGTCGCTGTCGAAGATCCTTTAGCTGGTTTGCCACCCCCCCCCAGGCGAATGGGATATACAGATACAAGCCTCTCTTGGTAGCCATAGGGGGTAAGCCATGGAGAAAAGCCAACGGTCCGTTAGTACCTTCGGTTTGAATCGGAGCGACAGGACGGCTGGATCTTGGACACATCTTGCATGGCCGCGCGCTCGGACGGACTCGCTGACTAGGCCCACACACACACACGCTAGCATGGGAGCCCAAGAAAGGGCTCCAAGAAAGAACTCAACGTGTTTTCGTGTACAAGGCCTGAGCAGAAAGCCAACTCTTAACACATGTGTTTTCGTGCATATCTTGGCTGGACCCAAATGAGAAGTAGCACAAGTTGTCGCTTGCTTTCGTATTCGCATCAAAGCGCCTGGGATTGGCTTTCTACTGGGATCTGGAAGGAGCTTCCTGTGTTTGTTGTTGCTTTTTGATGTATTCAGTGACTCCGCTTCCCTGGTTTTGTAGGCAACCAAGGGAATTATCCTTGAAACACCAAGTTGGGAAACTGGCTGGTTACCCGCAATATTGGGGTACTTGGGATCCATTTTTTCATACTTTGGCACCCCACTTGACGGATCAACTTTGATTTGTTTGGCACCTGACGTCCGACCTGCCCCCACTCCGTCGCGTCGCGTAGCCCTCAGGAGTCCTTGTTTTGCCAAGGGATGTTAGGACTTTATTTTTTGTTGCCAACTGATGGGGTTTCCATTAAACCCCTAAATGGGTGGGGACCGCAGGTTTTAGTCCTTGGTTCCATTTACTAGGGTTCATTTTGGGTACCTATGTTTGACCCACAGCCAAATGTTAAACACTTTTCGCAGAACTAACTATTAAACTCCTAGTTAAACCATTAAGCCACTACCATTACTAGTTTAAAAGCTTTAACTTTTCCATTAAAATCACTAAATGTTAAACCACTAAATGATTAAACATTTAGGAGGGTCAAAAATAGGTACCCAAAATGGAACCCTGGTAAATGTAAACATGGACTAAAATCTGCGGTCCCTTGGTGATTTAATATTGACCCACACCCAAATGTTAAACTTTTCGCAGGGGAGCAGCAAGCCACCGAGGAGTGGAAGAAGGTCCACTTCAAGGCGGCGCCCACCGGCAACCGCGGCTCCGCGAGCCGGCGGATGTCCGGCCTCATCCAGGAGACGGTTGCATTTGGCCGTGGGATCCCATTTTGGGGTAGGTGAATTCACCCATTTTAGTCGAAATTTTGGTTGGGATTGGGATGTTCACTGGGGGTACGGGATTTTGACCCATGGCCAGTTGACTCACGTGGATCCATTTAACCAAGGCATAGGTGACTAGGTCCCCCAGCTAGTTTGTCCTTTCTCACCAACTTTTGGTTGGGAGGGTTCCCCTACTAAAATAGACGACAGAAGAAGGTTGGTACCCTTATTCTATCCTCTCTACTGGTGGACCTAGGTGTCCAAAGGCTTGCCAGCCTTTCAAAAAGCAATAAGGAAATTAGCTGGCTTCCTATACGGGCCACGGGGATGCACTGGGGCAGGTTGCCTTGAACCCGGGGGTTGACTTATGTGTGAGAGTGTGTTTATTGGCAATTACCCTTTTTGGGCTGGTTTTAAAGGGAAGCCAAAAGGAAAACCAAAGCTATGTCCGGAGTCCCTAGGTTGGCACACACAGACACACACACACACCCGCTTCCCATGAGAAACACCTTTTAGATCAACAAATGAAACGGAGATGTTTGCGCTAGCACTTGGATGACGTGGTAAGTGGCTAATCAATATTCCGAAGAAGTCCACAGACACTGATTTATCCTACACAGAATTCATTTAAGGGGTCTTATTATGCAGGTAAGTTGGGGGGTTGCCAGTGTTGCCAGTGCCAAGTTGGATCATCTTCCTGTCAGGCTGAAACACCTGCTGTTTAAACAACGCCCATTTGCTCAAGACATGTTTTTAGTTTTTGAAGAATTTGATCGGTCAGTTTGGGGTTTTACATCCATTGCATCCGCAGTGTGGCTGTTCAAGCGTGAAAATGTGCGAGCAGCGCACTTGGACGGTTTGTTGTTTCCTTTTGGGCCCCAAACCGATAACCCTTGAATCTATAGGTTATCAGCCGTAGGCCCCTAGCTCTAAGCAATGGACGGTTCCCTTGTGCCAGTTGATGGATCCAGCATGCCTGTGGATGCTGCCGGAGCTAGCTCCGGCAACGCCACCGGCAGCGGTGTGCGAATGTTCGCATCAAGCGCTAATGCGCAATACAACCGCACCCTGATGAATTCCCTTCAACTGTACAACACCGCAATCTTTGCTTTTGGGAATGATGCAGCCATTAGGTCTGAAGCCGAAGCCCTGCATCAAGCAGCTGTTACGCATTTGCAAGCGGAAAACCGTGAGGAGCTCCGTGCCGCACAGAATCAGCTGCATGCACACTACGCTGAATGTGTGCAAGCCCAGTCGCATAGGATTCGTGAATACGAACAGCGAGTGAGCGATGAGTTCATGCAAGAAGTGAACTTCGCTGAAGCTAGGATAAGCCAAGTGTGTGAGGAAAATGCCCAAGCATTGCATGAAGCGGAAATGGGACGCAAAACAACTGAGTTTAGGCAAGCCATCGAATCCACCCTGGCGGAAGCCCAGCAGCTCCTCCATGAGCAAGCTGCCAAGCATGCCGATGACACAGCCCGTGTCGAGGCTACACACGCCAGAACGGTTGACATGATGGCCCACCAAAACGGGCTTCTGCAGGACGAGCTCGATGAGCTAAAGAAGTATCAGAAGCAACACGACCTCCGCGAGGATGGATCGAAGCCCAAAGGGGTAGGTGATACCCGAGAGGATTCCCCAGAGTTGATGACCGACGACATGAAGTCAGCTCGGTCCCAAAGGTCAATGTTGGACCCGTTGACCCATCCGTTTCAATATGCAAAGGAAAAGTTGAGGTCGCTTGTTACCTATGACGGTTACGGGGATGAATATACCCCCAGCGTGATTCCAACTGCCGAATGCGAAGCACTGCCCGCAGATGCTCGCGATCCGCAAGGACCAGCTGAAAAGCCATCAGGTAGCAGCCGATCCCCGGTGAAAACAAGTGCACCGGTCCCACCCCTGCAATTCTCTCAGGGGCCAATGTCAACTGACCGCAAGCAGGGTGGTAAGCCTCCCGGCGGTCCGCCACCTGATGATGATGGCGATGGCGATGGTGATGAAGACGAAGGTGATGGCCTCGGGCCTAACCTCGGCCAAGAAGCATTCGCCAAAATGTTGATGAAGTTAGTAAAAGGCCACACGAACGATGAAAAGCCCAGAACCCGCGAAAGCGAGACGTTGCGATTCAAGGAGATGCCAACTCCTGAAACGTACCGTGAATGGAAGACATCGGTTCGTGAGGACGTCCGCGCTGCATCTGACCGTCCAGACGAGGCTTGGCCTTGGATCATGGAAGTCTGGTCCGATCGCGAGGACAAGAAGAAGCTGTTGGAGGAGCTCGGCGAACCGGGAAAATTCGTGACCCTAGACACGAAGATTCTCGCAGCGCTCACGCGTTCAGCGAAAGGCGATCTGGCTCAGCGAATCCTAACAGCAAAGGAAGAATGTGCCAAGGAGGGAAAGGCCATGAGAGGAAGGCAGGTCTTGTTTATGTTTGACCAATATTTCAAGACCAGTGAAGAAGCCGGAAACCTCTACTCCTTGGAGGACCTGTTGCGTGTCTCGCGACACGGCGAAGGAATCATTGATCTCAAGCGTTTCCTGAACGCTTGGGATTCCGTGATCGCCGGCATGAAAAGGCCGCCGGAAGAAAAGGTGTTGAAAGACATCTTGCTTCGCCAAGTGAGAAGCTGCCATCTGTTGCGGTATGACATTGACACATATGATCGTTGCCGTGATGATGATCCCAACAAATCGTACGATTTCCTAATGCGTTGCATGAGGGATCTAATCGAGAGGGATAGGCTCCGCGAGAACCGAGAGCGCGTGTCCAAGGTCAATGCCAGTAAAGCCCCGACGCCCAAGGCTGGTGCTGCCGCCCCTGAAAAGAGGGACCCCAAGAAAAAGAGCGCACCTAAGCCGAAGGACACCGAGGAGAAGTACTGTTTTGACTTCCAGAAGGGCTCGTGCACGAGGGGGGCAAACTGCCCTTACGCGCACCGCAAGGAGCCGCGAGGACGCTCCGCGACCCGTGGCAGGCCAAGTTCCCCCAAAGGCGGAAAGGAGAGAAAGCACCGTGTTCTTTCTTTGCCCAAGGGAAGTGCACTAGAGGTGACAAATGCAAGTTTAGCCATGCCTCCACGGGCGGCAAATCTGCCGCCGCGGCATCGAGCAGCGAGGCCAATGCAAATCCTGCGGCTAAGAAGCGTGCAAATTCACCTAAGCCTAAGCCCAAGGCCAAAGCCGCTGCAGTCTGCACCAGGTACGCCATGTTCGCAAAGCCGATCAACCCAATCGGAGTGTCATTCGACACCAATGCTCATGTTCATGAGATCCCCGCCGAAGGCGATGGTTTCAAGCTTGAGTATGAGGAACGTCAGTACAATAGGATGTTTCCAAGTGCCAAGGACTGCCCCAGGCCGACCAAAGGGACTAACAAGGCAGCGCGCAAGGCCGCGAATCAGTTGAATGCCGTAGTCAAAGCCATGGAGAATGGAGCCCAGCCCGCTTGCGGTTTCATGTGCGATGTGGAATCCGATTCCATCTCAAGCCTATCGTGTGATGAGTGCCTGAGAGTTGCCATGCCGCCTCACGATGTTCGCAAGGATGTCGAAGCGCCAAGGGCAGCCACCCCTGCCCCAAAGGGAAAGGATGTGTGGCTCATTGATTCCGGTAGTGAGCAGGACCTCATCAGCAAGGCTGCACTGAGGAATGCGTCCAAGGCAATCCGAAAACAGGCCCCGCAGCCTATTCGCCTTGTGACTGCAAACGGAAACATCACTGCTTCCGAGATCGCCGACATCAATGTCGATGCATTGTGTGAGCCTGCTCAGCCTTACATCCTCGAGAGTTCTCCCGCAGTGCTGTCGCTGGGTGTGAAGTGTCTGGATCAAGGATATTCCTTTCATTGGGAATCCGGGAAGGCACCAACCATGGTTCGCCCTGACGGTGCTCTGATCCAGCTCAAGGTTGACGGTCATGTGCCATACATGGACTCTAGTTGTGAAGCTGAGCCATCGTTGAGTGCAGTAGCAGCATCCAAGCCAGCGCCTGCGCCAGTTCATGACGAAGGCATCGACGAAGGTGATGATCCCGACGACGAAGTTGAGCGGTTTGTGAGATCCCGCAAAGAGGAAGATCTGGTTGCCGAAGCGAGTACCAAAGAGCACTTGTTTGCACACTATCCGAAGAATCCCTTTTGCCGCACTTGCCAACGCGCCAAGATGCTTGCCCCATATGCGAGATCGAAAGGCGGGCAGGGAAGGCTCGAAACGAAAGCGTTTGGAGATCACATCATTGCTGATCATGTGATCCTCAAGACCAACATCGAGCAAGGCATCAAAGGTGAATGGTGTGCTCTTGTGATCAAGGACGTGCATACGCAGTTCAGGTACGTTTACCCATCGACCAGCAAAAGCACGGAGCAATCCGTCGCAGGGATCCAGCATTTCATTTCCGGTAGGGATGAGGTTGAAGTTCTCTACACCGATAACTCCCGGGAATTGAAAGCCGCAATAGAGCAGTTGGGGTATCGTCATCAGACCTCCATTGAATATGTTGATTCCTCCAAATCTTTCGTGGAAAGAGAAATCAGACATCTGTTGGAGGGAGCACGTGCGAACCTTGTTCAGTCAGGGTTCCCACTGTCGATGTGGCCATTTGCTATCCAGCACAATGCAGTTGCGACCAACATCCTGCCACAGTTGAATGGAAACGATTCGCCATGGTACCTCAGGTTTAACAAGACCTTTGATGAAGCTGAGATACCTTTCGGAGCAAAGATACTGTTCTGGAATAACCCTGCACGAGCTGACAATCAGGCAGGCAAGACTTCGCCGACATCTAATGAAGGCGTGTTTCTCGGGTACCATATTCAGCCTGGGTTCGCATGGAAGGGTGAGTTCCTCGTTGCAAAACTAGAAGGGCTCGATTACCATATCGAACATGCGTCCCTCACGGTACAGCGAACAAAGCGCATTGAGCTTCCGACTGATGAGTTCATCTTCCCGATGAGGTTGTTGAAAGACCCT